ATAAGAAATTCTGTATAATAATACTGATTTGATTAAAGTTTGACTGGTAATTTAAACAGCACCACCTGTGACGGGGCTTTACGGAATTTTCTATTCATCCTCTTGGGAAATCTTTAGGGCCAGCAATTGAGTTATTTCACAGCCATCCTTCTCAAGAAGAAACCTTGATACGCAGATTAGCTAGTAGATATATGGTGGAGGTTTAGTAATCGAAGAAAGAAGAAGCTGCGTTGCTGAACGAAGTGCTGTTACGGTAAGGATCGGAAATTAGACGCGTGATTATATGACGGGCTTCAGTTATTAAAATAAATTAAGTAAGTTTGGATACTTATGATAACTTTGAATAAAGTTAAGCTATTAGGATTTCATGCGCTTATTTACATAAGATTTTGAGCTAGCGTTATATCTCTCACTCCAGAATTTCCCCTCTATAGTGAGCTGGTTTTTGATTATTATATATTTGGTGATAATAAATTGAATTTTTCATGGCTAGCTTGGGTTATCAATCTTTACCCCCTTCGCGGACCCCCTAGAACGGGACTGGAGACCCCAGGGGTCCGCGGACCACAGTTTAAGTACTGCTGCTCTAAATGACTCGGAATAATATTTTTTCACATAATATGTTTTCATTTACTATTGATAAAAAAAAAAGCAGCCTTTTTTATATTTTAATTTAACGTATAAACAATTTTTGAAGTTATACTTCTTTTGGGGCATTAGAGAAATAGGATGAGGGTGAATTTTTACGATGCGCGCGCACACCGTCACGGATGAGAAAATGCTTTGTCTAGAAATATACAGAAGGGGACTAATCATTGCCGCCTTCAAAATTCCCAGGAAAATATTTATCTTCACTTCCCTGAAGAATAAGACACCCGGGGTTGAACCGGAGACCTCTCGATCTGCAGTCGAAAGCTCTACCACTGAGCTCTACCCCCGCGTCAGATAACCTTTGCTTTGCGTTCTGTATGCTTCGATTAGAAATATGCAGAACGGGACAGATCATTCCCGCCTTCAAATTTCTCAAAAAAATATTTCTCTTCACTTCCCTGAAG